TCTGCGACTTCGCGGCTGAGTTGTTCATTAGTTTGCATTAATTCCGATATCGCATTTTGCATTACGTCCAATGATGTGAACATTTCTCGACAATTTTGATAATTCTCGAAAGGCAGCTGAAATAACAAGAATAAAACATAGCATTCTTTAATCAATTCTTAAAGCTACTTATGCATCTAGTTATGAAATAAAATTCATTGAAACGGCTAAATAATTATGCCATTTTCTGTACAAAAGACGATGTAGATATATTCAGACGATGACGGAAGTGAAAGATTTAAGTGAACCAAATTTGTAGTTTTTATTGTAGTAAGGATAAAAGTACAAAATGGAATAAAAATCAGTGGTCGGACTCATTTACCTGGAGTGAAAGTGAGGCTAAAAGTGCTAAAACACTACATGATGCATTTAAGTTGTATTTTAATGATTAATTAATGGATATTTTAGTAAAAAATTCAAATATATATATTTATTGAAAGTACGAAATAATTTTAATAGAGGTACGGATGCCCAATATACTGATATTAGAGAAATGATAGCTTTTATTGGTCTTTTATTGATGTCTGGCATATATCGAGCTGCTCCTTTAAATATTGAAGAACTATGGGATGAAGATGGATCTCCCATTTTTTTCTTTCACAATGTCCTATAAATCTTTTTATATCGTTGCATTTGATTTGACAACATACATAGTAGAGATGAAGGAAAAAACTGACAAACTTGCAGCTGTCCGGGAAATACTCGATTTGTTTGAGAACAAATTTAAGATTGTGTATACACCCGCCGAATATACAACAATGGACGAGCAGTTAATATCATTAAGAGCTAGGTGCTCTTTTCGACAGTACTTACCAAACAAGCCTAAAAATATAGTATAAAAGTATTTATTATGGTAGATAGTAGGACCTATGATCTGTTGACATTTGAAATATATGCTGGGACGCAGCACGATGGTCCTTATAAAAAAATGAACACACCTTTTGATATTGTCCAACGACTTGTTGATCTAATAAAGTGCAGTGAAAGAAATCTTACCACCGATAACTGGTATACAAGTAAACCTTTGAAAAAATGGTTATTAGAAAATAAAATTACACTGATTGGAACTTTACGCAAAGACAAAAAAGAAATTCCACCTGAATTTCTACTTAATAAAAAAAGAGAAGTTTATTCGAGTATTTTTTGATTTACAAAAGATATATCTACAATTTCATACGTGCCAGCAAAATCAAAATAAGTTGTATTAGTCTCCACTATGCATAATGATAACTTAATTGATGACGACCCTTGGTGTAAAAAAAAAAAACCAGAAATAATAACTTTTTACAACCGCAACGAAAGTTGGGATGGATTCATGTGAACACCTTTGCAGCAATTACAGTGTTGGTCGAAGAAGCAAAAGATTTCTTTTAGCTATATCTAATCATTTTATAAATGTTTCTGCAATAAATTTATATATTGTTTTTAAAATTAACACTAAAGAAACGATAGAAAGAAGAATATTTTTGAAAAATCTTGCAGAAAATGTTGTTACTAATCAAATAATTCGAAGAGGAAATAATATTCACGTGTTACGCAGCCTTGGACGAAAAATATGGATATATTTGGGTAATCGAGGAATCAAAAAACCACAAGTTACAGATGAAATGGACGACACAGGGGACTCTAAAAAACGTAAAAGATGTCATATTTGTCCAAACACAAAAGACAATATATACAGTTATGTTTGTAAGGTTTGTAAAAAAATATATATCAAAATCCACTCAGCCTCAGTTCGTTTGAAATGCGAAGAAATTATTTAAATTTCATGTCATCTTAATATTTTATAGCTATCATTCTTATAAATTGTTGCTATTATTTTTTTTTCTATATGCAGCAATAAGTGAAATATAAAATGTATGAAATTTAATGTGAAATGCACTAAATGTCATTATGACCCGACGTGACTATAGGACTTTTTCCACGTGGACAAACTCGAGTTGGGTCCCAGATTTCAAAAACAGCATGAGTTGGGTCCCGTTATATTTTTAAGAGTACATGAGTTGGGGCTAGCCTATTAGCGTTACCCAGGAGACACCACGTGGTGGTTGGCTAGAATGTCTCCCAAAACATTTGTTTTTTCATTATTTAGATTAGTTTTAAAAAATAAAAATATTGTGCATTATTTATTAATAAATATATTTGTATTAGAAAAAGTATAAGCTAGGGCATAAATTTAAAAGACACTTCTTTTACAAAATTTAACCGGGTCATTTCTCCACTAGTAAAAACAAGCATTTTCTCTCTTAAAAATTTTTCTTTTTCTCCGGTTTTTTTGATTGGCTGTGTGGCTGAACTGCGAAGTGATATGTAAATTTCACTCTGAATCCCGAGTAAAATTTCTATTAAAACAAAAATATTAGGGTGAGCTGCACTGCACTGATAGCGTTTAATTTTGCATGATAACTTTCACAACTATTTGTGGTGCAATTTGTGGTTGCTGCAAACTCTGCCCAAATATTAGGTGGAAATAATGCATCTTGCTCAATATATGTTTTGAGAAGGTAATCACAAAATGTATCGACAGTTGTATTTACTGGTTTGATAGTCATTAAGTCATCAATAAAACAATCAAATACCTCCTCTGGTTTCAAAAAATGTAAACCAAAAACATACTTTAGATAGTCACTTATATCATTATAAGAACTTTTATATAGCCGAAGTTGTTGAATTTTTCGCCACCAACTTTGCGCTAAGTGAAATCTACAACCTTTAATTATGGAATTTGGCTAAACACACTTGACAGACGTATGAATTGCCACCTTAAAATCAACAAAAATTTCGGTAGGTTGAAAATTCAATTGAAGAGACGTGCAATAACTTACAATATACTGGAAAGCTTTAGTGTAAGTTTCTAATGTTTTGTTAGGTAATACCAAGAAAACCAATGGTACATACAATCCATTTCGAAATCCGTGAATAGTAAAAAGTTGTAAGTAGTATTTCGTACAGCTCTTTAAACGTCCCGTTCATGTATACTTTAGTAACATCACACAAAGCTTTCAAATTCGTCTCAGTTGAAAAACCTATGATATTATCTACCAAATTATTACAGAATAAAAATTGTTCGTCTTTGTTGGTAGTTATGTCCATTGTGCTCAAACAATTATGTGTTTCTTGCATGCTTTTAGGTAATTTTGGATATAGTACTTTACGAGCATGATGGATGTTATTTCTTATTAATTTTAAATCATTAGTGTTAATCGAAGGTATATCGCTGTTTTTCAACTCGGATCTAATGAGCTTTGAAGGTCGTGTAGAAATATCATCTTGTGCTTTTCTTTTAACCGAGTTACTTAACTTTTGTCTATTCAGAACCTTGTTATCACATTTTTGGTGATTATGAAAGTTACATTTCTCTATTATTTCTAAAGTCGACGATAGTTTAAAAAAAACATTTACATGTATTTAGAGGTTCCATGACAATTTAGCGCAGTCATTTTAGCTCACGACAATTCAGCGATGACATTTCCGCGTAACACAATTCAGCGTATACGACATTTACGCGCAATACATGTCGGCGCATACGACATTTACGCGCAAGATATTCCGCGCATCATGTTTAATAAAATATACTAAGCTAATTGCTAGTAAGTATAATTAATTCCCAAATTAAAATCATTATTTCTAAATATACATTTATTAATCTTAATTAATTGTACATAATAAATATAAAAATTCCTAAATCTAAATCATTATTTATATCGATTATTTAATCGTTATAATAAATCACTTGTTTAAATTAAAATTGTGAGCTATTCCTTGTAAGTAATCATTGAGTGGTTGGTTTTCGAAATCTTCGCATATATGTAACATTTTTTTTTGCTGTATCTTTATACTTTGATTTTTTTGGTGGTACATATCCAGCAATAAGCTGTTCGGTTGTCATCTTATTAATACTTTCTTCTTTTTTTAAAGTATTAATAAATTTCCATATAGTAGGATGTGAAGACGTTAAAAGAGCAGAAAACCCATTATGCCAACCTTCAATATTGTTATTGGTTCTTGGGAGATCGTCTTTCAAACGATTAAAACAATTCCAAAGATCAATTGCAAATAAGGGAGATCTTCGTTTTCTTCTCCTGTCTAAACTTCCAATCCAAGTACATTCGAAGTAAGATATTAGTGGCGACAACAGCTCTTCATTTTTTGTATAAAATTCATTTTCTAAAAGACCTTCAAAGTATTCTATTACCTTTTCTATTGGTACGAAGGCAAGAGCAGCCAATTTCTTCAACTCCAGAGCAAATACAGGGTCGTTACAATATTGAGTTTGTAAACCATATTCTTGAATATGCCTCCATAAGGCTTGACTTAAATGAAAAAAACAGCCTTGAATTTTTGTTTGAGGAAATTCGATTTTAATAGAATTCATCACTGCTTTTTCGAAGTCAATCAAAATTGAAGTTGTATTTAAATCTGGTTTTATTAATTTTAAATTACGGAAAATTGTAGTATAAGTATTTTCTTTTTTGTCCGGTAACAAAATATATACCAACGGTATGACATTAGAAAACTGAATTGTATGTATCGTATATAGTTGGTAAAATAAATTGGGACATGATGAAAATGTACCGTCAGCAAACCAGTGTTTCGAATATGTTAGAAGTTCTAAACTTTTCCATGTCGAAAAAATTAAAATTCGGTCTTCAAAATTTCCAGAATCAGCACTGTCAAAAAAAAAGAAACTGCTCCCCACATAATGTTTTTTTGAATGAATCTGGTATTTCGAAACGTAAAGAATTTGGGTTGGCTGGAGCAATTTGTTTAATTTGGCGTACTCGCTGTATTGTTCTTTTTAAAGCTCTCGAGTTCGGTAGTTGGGCTGATACTGCAGCAGATAACTAAATAAAATGTATTATCAATATTATACAATAATGTACAATACTAATTTATAATTAGGTCTCGGATGTTTATGTTTTTTATATTTATCCAATTTAATGTTCACCTGGATACATGTTTTTAGCATATATTTTGATTGCATATTTCATAATTTTTTAGTGTATAAATGCATGCACAGTTTTAAGTGCACAAACATCCGAGCCCTTTTTATAATATTTTTTTTATTGTACCTGTGAAGAGCCTTCTCCAAGAATGGCACGAGTTGTTAAACTGTTTTCTCTAGCAAGAGTTTTCATTTCTTCGACTGTTTTCTTTGCTTGAATTTTAGCAACGTCTGATAAATGACTATGGTCTACATATTTTAATATAATATCATCTAAAATTATATATATATATATATATAGTTTAAAGTTAAATATAAATAACTTAATAATTAATTTGCACGTGTTCTGAATACTTTTTATTTTTAAGACTTAGTATTTTGTTATTCCTTGAAACTTTTTATAATTGTTTTAAATAATTTTGTGACAAGACATGTATACGTATTTACGACAATACCTACATATTACAAGTATTTTTTCGTTTAAAAAGTATTCTTAAATTACACTTATTGAATGCCATAACTGGTGTGTAGGTACTTACTTTCTGATACATGTACCCGTCCTGGGCACTTTTGATTTTCATTGCACCTCCAAATTATTTTATTTTCATCTCGCCTGTCCTGTCTATGAATATAATTTTTGTATACTAATAATTGTTTTCCTCTTTGACTTGCTATATATTGTAGTACAGACATTTTGTTGTTGAATGTTGAAAGACGTATACTGACCGCACAATTATTTTATACTAGTTACCTACCTATATCAGATTATTTCGATTATCTGACACCAATAGATAATAACTTCTGCTGTCGATAACACGGAAATCCTTTCAATTAGATATTTTTAAATTGCGCTGAATTGTCGCGAGCTAAAATGTAGTGTGCGCTAATTTGACGATCGCCAATATGTCGTATGCGCTTAATTGTCGTGCTCTATAATTACCACGCTCAATTGACGTGCGCTGAAATTACCATGCGCAAATGACGGTACACCGTATTTAGATAACACTTCCAACGTTGTACATCATTCCGCAACATTTTGTGGAAGCGAAATTTAAATCCGTCTTCAATGATAATTTTTATACCTTTTTCACTTGACATGAAATCCATAATTTAATTTTATATAATAGTTAATAGATATTTTATATTTTATAAATGGACACTTCTTGTATTGACACGTACCAGTATACTAACAAGTTACAGTAATATTATGTTATCCGTTAATATTAAGATAAGATAAAATATTACGCGGACCCAATTCGAGTATTATCAAATAATACCGTGGACCCAAATCGTGTTTTTTTTAAGGGATCAAATATCTCGGGACCCAACTTGCGTTTTCCCTTCCACGTGACCTGTTAAAGGTTAATAACTAGCTGGGGTTTTACCCGGTCCGGGCCTTGGCCGTCAGTGGATTAGCTATTATTAGCATTTGTATTTATTTTTAAAGATTTATATGATCCATTATTATAAATCCGTTAGAGCATGCCACTATTAGTTTTTTCTTTTTTTTTTATAAAACAATGTGTTTCATTTTTATTTCTATTCATTATTATATATATATTGAATATTAATCCATTAGAGCTCGCCACTAAAAACAACCTTGTATCTTTACTTTCTGTTGCCGGGAGGTATATTTTATGATTTTCATATGTATACTGACCTTCCCCTGATCCGGCTGAATATCTATGTTGAATTTCAAGCAAATCGGAAAATTACGAGTGCGGAAAAAAGCCATATACATTTTTATTTATACAGATTAATAATTTACAGTGTCGTTTATTTCAAATTGTAATTTTTTATTTAATCAAATAAATGATAACTAACTTAAAATACGTAAAGAATGTAAACAGTTAAAGTCGAATGCATTACGTTGTACCGTAATAAATGATAAACCAGTAATACGACAAGCTTCCTGAGCGCTCCTCGTTAACTAAGGGCACAATAAATGTCGTAAAAATATATTTAAAAATAAAAATATCAAAGGTAGGAAGTGACTACAGCATTTAATCTACATGTATTTAATATTTGCACAGAATAACCAGAAGGGTCACTTTTTGAGTGTAACTTGAATTCTTATTTGGACAGTAGAAAGGTAATTCCAATTATTCAGTATTGTAGGGAGAGTGTTTTTTCGAATAGATGCAATTTCTATTTTGTAAAGGTGTGAAGGTGATAAAAACATATATGATGACTAGAGCCCAGAATTATATTCTTTTGCATATTTTTTTTGAGCCTATGTAGTCAGACGGGGGTTCGAAATCCTTACGAATCATGAAACAGGTGTATTAATATCAAATTTTTTTTTGCATATTTGAGAATATTTCAAGATAAAAGAATATTAGAGAATATATCGATTAATTTGTATAGATGTTCGATATTTTTGGTTGTAGTGACCTAAATAATATAAATTATATTATGTCCGATAATAGTGATACTGATATGATATTGAAAATATACTATATATTTATATAGTGTGCAGTAATGTACTGCAATCCACTGTAGTATATAAGATATGTGACTTATCCAAGATAACAATACCCGACAAAAAATGGAATTACTACACAAAAATAGCTAGCTCCAAACGTTACAGGTACAGGTACTGTACTGTGTAAAACAGTGCAGTATCAAGTGTCGTGTAGTATTGACATATCACATATGTACAATGTACATAGTAGTTTTATTTTATTAGTCGATTGTTTTTACTTGTTAATAATGCCGAAAACACCATCAACTAAATAAAAAACTTATAGAAAATTTTTCACCGGTTATGATAACTGATTTGCAATATGCTCCTGTGACTTCAGTTGACGTCGAACGTTCATTTAGTACATATAAAAACATTTTGACCGACCGTCGCACAAGTATGACACCAGAGCACATGGAACAAAATATAATTATCAACTGTTTCCAAAAATGTTCTTAGTTAAAAAGTTAAAAAAATTAAATATTATTATTTATTATTAATAATTTAATCGAACTTTTCTTAACATAAAGTATTTTTTATTGTGTACCTATTTTATTCAGAATTTATATCAGGTTTTTGTATTATTTAATTATTTTGCATATTATGTATCTTGTATCTATTTATAATCAGTTTTTTTTATAATTTGCTTAATTTTGTTGCATATTGAGAATGTATTAATAAAAAAGCATATTTTTGGCATATTTTATTATGATTTTTAAAGAATATTGGAAGAATATTTTGAACTTTTGAAGAGAATATTAGAATTTTATTTTGGCTATTTTTAAAGAATATAATTCCGGGCATTAATGATAACAAAGATGCATGTAAAAGTTCGCAATGTCAGTGTGACCAGGAAAATATAATTGTGCACTTTTGTTACATACATGGGTACACCGGTTTTCCAACAAATTAGTAATAATCGACTATATGTGGTAAGAAAAAGTAGGTAGTTCTCAAAGAGTATAGCTAATCACAGTATATTATACACTACCCGTACTTTACTTAGCCATCGAGAAACTTAAGGGAGCTCACTCGAAAGATCTCTAAAATAATAATTTTGTTATTGAGTTGTGATGCTGAGACTTACATAAATCATTTATTTTCATCGTTAGTTGGGTTTTTCACTCTTACCGTTTGAGGTTGGCACCAAGATAAGTCCAGTGGGATTTATCGCTTCTTTCCACTAATGGATGTTAATTGAAAAAAAAGTTTTTGATCAGTTGAAATTGGTGCGTGTAGTGAAGGGTTTTATAAGCCGTGTGGTGGCTGAACTATATAATATCGCAACTAAAGGCGTTATATATACAAGTATAATTGCATCAAAGACCAAAAGGAATAGTAGTAATTTAAAAAAAAATATCCACCAAACAAATATTTATTTTTTAAACTAATAACATAATGTATTCTTTAGAAATCAATTGATTGTATTATCATGTTTAAAATGTAGAAACATTTTGGCCGTAGCCGAGAAGGGTAAAAAACCGTCTATCAGCTTATACGATTTGGACAAATTCAAACACATAAGGCAGCTGACCATTCCATATGAATCAAAAGCCAACAGTTTCATCAAAATTAAATTTTCGTATGATGATGTATATGTGGCTGCGCTTTCCGGCGATCCCGATTACATAATGTACTATTACAATTGGAGACAGTCGAAAGTCGAAAGTCACTTCCAAGTCGTAACCTCTGCGAACGTAGCTGGTCCTGTGACAGATGTAATCTTTATAAATATCATTCAGTTATTATTAGCAGCTACTTTACTAATACAGTCTAAAGTTGGGCAAACCAGCTAACATATATAATACCTAACCAACGAATGACAAATGGATAAGTCGACTATTTCTCTTAAATTTATTTGAGAAAGGGCTTGTATATGCTTTTTAAGTCAAAATCTCTTGAAGATAGTTTTTTATTAGACTGTATACACTCCAATCAATGCAATATGTACAAATAAAAAATAATATAACATATGAAAATTACATTGCTCAATATTTTATCTAAAATAGACCCGAGAACCAAGGTGAAAAGGGTGATGTTACTCATATATACATATACATATAATGTAATATATGATATAAATATACATATTATCTTTATATCCATCTGTATACAGAAAAATCTTTTAATAGCGGACACCCTCTTTGGAATTTTTGTCCACTATTTGGAGGTGCCCGTTATTCATAGGCAGTACATTAATTAATAAAAATTTATAAAATGTATAAATTCATGTACTAATTATGTGGATTTATTGATGTATGTAATAATGTAATATTTTAATAATTAATTTTCGTCGTCAATTGTTCTGCAATTATTCTGCTAAAAAAATTAAAAAAATGATAAATTATAATTAATAATTATATATATATATTTAAACATATATTTACCTTGAAAGTTACATTGAATAATTAGATGTTTGTACAAGTTTTCAAAGTGAAATGATCTGCGATTGTTACTGAATAGAAAACATTGAAAACGATGTCCACTGACGTAATTGGTGAAAACTTAAAGTACACGAGATCATCTGTTGAGAAGTCTTCAGGAAGTCCAGGTTCAAGTTCTATTTTCACATTATTGGCAGATAATACTTTTGAAATATTTTTTAAAATTTAAGACATTATTGTTATTAAATTTATTAAAAACAGCTTTTCAAATTGGTCCTTGAAGAGTTTCCAATGCTTTTTCAACATTTGCAAATATATTTATAGCTTCAGCTAATGGTAGTTCTTGTTCTTGAAACTTGGTTATGAAAGTGGTTAAAATTGTAAAATTCGACTTTATTTTTGCCAAATTTCTTTCAATACCAAAACTTTGGAAATATATTTTTTGGCCTCTTGCATCCTAACAGCATCATTGGCGTCTAGATTTTCAAGAATTTTACTTATGATTTCAATGTTTTCACAATGGTAATTTGATGCCATGATCCACTTACTCCAATGTGTTATAGTAGGATATGGCGGTCAATTTAAATGAGGAGTTTCATCTTTGAATAGCAGAACAAGGTTTGGTGCTTTTCGGAATATTTTGAAATGAGTTTGTCGACATTACTAATTTTGCTCCTTACTTCTTCTGCTACTAGGAGTCCATGTAATGAATCATTTTGGAATAAAACGCTTTCAATGTATTACTAGATTTTATCAAATAGAGAGCGGGATGCGAACAATAAAATGTGTTGATACAAATGATTCCAATAGATTTATCAAATACTATGCAAATAATCGAATAATTTGTTTTTTTAATCGTTTTGAATGTACCAAATATTGTTTACTCGGGTAATCGGCTTCAAGTGTTCCCACAGTTACATTAGCATCAATCTACTGTTGGTTCTCCAAACATGACCTGCCCACTCCAATCTTGTGCCTTTTACAAATTGTCTTAATATCCTACTATACTTCCTTTTTCGTGCGAGTATTTTAGCTGTTTGTTCTA